AGATCTTGGAAAATGCTAACTTTAGCCTGATAGCACTGAAAGCGAATGTCCCACCCTCCCTGCAATTTGCCATCCAAAGCCACGCCTCCTGAACGCATATACGCACACATATCAGATGATCAGACACAACATTACTACAATACATCATGTGTTATCCACCGGTGAGAAAACTTTATAGCACAGTTAGTAAAAGTACTACAATACCAGGACGGAAGATCAGGTTGTTGATGTTTGCCTGCCATTCTGAACGCGCTGATGACGTATCCTGTCTGCGCGAACCGGGTGCGCAGAAGTATGCAAATACATATGTTGACAGGCAGGTTGGAAAGTCAATCAAAACGCTCGTTCCGAGCAGTTTGATTGGATGAACATTTCTTGGTCCTGCACCTTCCACAGAATATATAAATACAGATAAATACATTTAGACCACTTAACTAAATGATTGCTATCGGGATGTGAAGAGACTTTCAACCAGCATAACAAAAAATGTTTCTGGAGACAATCACCTATTGCACCTTTAAGACCTAAATTACTGTTTATGAGGATACTTGCAAAGATGGGCATTTTGACACATACAAGTGTGTGAATTTAACTGTTCAAGACCTATAAAGCAGCAAAAATAACTCAAGTTCAATACTCCTGAGCACCCACCCCTACAGCACAGTATTAGAGTACTTAAAAGTATCATTATTGAAAATAATGGATATTTTTTTAAGTCAAACATCCTAAAAATTTGGAGTTTAATTGTCATGAAAATATAAACAAAAAATAGACTTCATTTTCATATATATAATTTTTTTTCTCTCTGATCTTGTGGTGAAATATGACCATGTTTTACAGATTTCGAGTCTCCAATATTCAAATCATTACTTCTAAACATCAAAGAAACATGAAATGTTGGAAGTCCCCTTCAGTCATAATGTATGACTGAGAGGTCAAGATATACAAGCAAAGAATGAGAAAGAAAGTGATTTTCAATATTACCGTACATGCTGAAATTCTTTCCATCATTCCAGTCTTGGGGAAGGAATAACATGGATGATTCCAAACTGTAGTTCCACAGCATTCCTGCCATCAGAAAAGACATGAATTATCAATGGATATCTGTATTGAAAGATTTACAGGATAAGGACTTGGCTACAATTATTATTTTTTTTTTTTTTGCTTTACACAAAACTTTAATGACATTTGTCATATCTTAACTAGGTTTGCCTCTTAAAAAGGCAATAAAATGACAAATTGTTCTGAATGACACATTACAGCCACAGATTGATTAATCTGTCTGTCTAAAATGTTAATCAATGTTCACTAATTGTGGATGTTCAATGCAGCAGGATTTACTTTAGATGCTATTATCAGTGTACATTGTCAGGTAGTACTACCATTGTATATAAGTGCTCCTTGACTAATGTAGAGAGACATAATCGGTAAGCAGAAATTTGAAATGAGGTACACATCTGTTGATGAAAAAGTCTATAGGTTAAGAGCTGCACTTATCCTGAATTAATACAAATGCATATGTGGCGCACACACACTATCCATTCTTACACTGAACAATACAAGCTAATAAATTCAGACTCTCATATATCTGAATAGTAAGAACGGCAAATGACATATTGCCAAAAAAAAAAGCAATATGCTTAGCTACATGAAAAAAACAACACAAAAAAAGTGAAAGTGCCAAATTAATATCTGTAATTTAATTCTAAAGCACTTTTTTTAACTACTTTTAAAGTAGCATTAAAAACCCCACAGTAAGCAAGGCAAAGGTGACAGTGACAAGGAAAAACTCCTTAAGATGTATGTAGAGAAAAGGTCATTTACAGAAGATTTATTATATTATATTTATCACACTATGTGTACCTTGGAAATATATTGAAAACACTATTGAAATGAGTCAATGTGATGAGTGATGTGATGTGTTGAAGTATTTAATTGAGTATTTAAGAATGTTTTTATGAAATTCACATGGAAGAATATATGGGGCATTGTAACTATTATACCTACATCTATAAACCTGAATATTCTGTTGATAAATTTTTACAGATTAATCTTGAGCAGTACTACTACAATTTTCCCCATTCAATTTTTTAAGCCTGAAGTAATTGCATCATGTTACTTTTATTTGCACCATGGTACTAAATGGTCACCATATTCATTTACCATGCTATTTAGATGGTCCTCCATGACATTTCAACATTTCCATGGCATTTTAAGTATGAAAAAAAGGAAATGATAGAAATCCATTTTAGCTTGTTTAAATAACAATCTATCAACCTGAATAAAATATTGATCAATTTAATCAAATGATGTTGAACATAAATAATAAAAAAATAAAGATTTAAAAACTATACCTCTCATGACTTTTATTTTGCAATATTTACTGTATTTTATTTTTATTGTATTATATAGAAAATGCCTTTGACACATACACACAAATACTCTCTCAAAACGCCATTCTGTTTTTATAATACTCACAAATTACACCAAAAAGTCTTCTTTTTTTAAAAACACAGAGCATTTTTCTTATAAAAGAGGTTCTTCAGAGGTTTTCAAGGGACTGCAGCTTTAATTGTGTCACTTGTCAGGTCCTCCTCAATTCATTCTTTCAGGACAGTGATCAATATGGCATCTGCACCTCCAGTCTACATCATTACACAGCCTGGAGCGAGTGTGTGTGTTTTTCTGTGTGTCTTCAAACTCTTTTTACTCCTAAATAGTGCTGCGTTTTGAATGAAAATGTATGTTTAAGGATGATTGTAATTAATGATAAAAACCTTTTATGTCTTTTGTATTTGAGTTGGAGTGATGTGACTTGTTTATGGCGTGCGAGGCTGAGTGTGTGTTGGCAGTGGTCTGAGCAGTCTGTGTGTCCTTGTGTTTGCACAATGCGGCAGAGGGCGGAGAGCTAAATCAAAAAGAAACAAATGAATTCAGATCAATATTGAGTCGAGTGATGGATAAAAGGGGATGAAGGAGAGAAAGACTGACAGAGAGCGAGAGAAAACGGGAGAGAGGGAGAAAATGTACAAAGAGCCTCTTAGCCTCACTAATGCACTAATGCAACGTAAAGAACATTTAGACTGGACTTTTGAGTTTTATTTATTTTAAAAGTCTGCTTTACAAGTATTTATGGGCTAAAAGGTGGCATTTCATATAAATGACTATACCTAAATTTGTCATTTTTGTAATACATTTAATTCTCCAAAAAGGTAGGTAATGGGGAAGCCAGGATCTGAGCTGGTTATTCTCTTTGGTATCATCCTTAAAATAATTCACCATGGTAACCATAATTTTCCACAAAAATGCCCTAGTAACAACAGTTATCATAGTTATCATTAGTACTGTAAAGCATATCCATACAAAATGAATACTGTGGCATCACCATGGGATCAGATGGTAATACCATGGTACTTTGATATGACAATACTGAATTGTCAGCATATATTCATTTGAAGTACTATGGCATTTAGGTAGCAATTCAGTAAATACTATGGTCCTTTAAAATAAAAAAGAATTATGGTAATCTGTTATAAAAAAAATCTTGTTTTATTTTGATTTAGTGATTATTGTATTTCGGCAATTAAACACTGTTAATTTTTGCAAAGACTGAACATGATGCTTAACATTAAAATAAATTCCAAAAACGCTATTTCAATCTTTTTTCGGCTGATAGTCAGTAGGATTTTTTACATGTTTTTGTCATGTTTAATACTCTCAGGCTACAGTTATTTTATTAAAAAATACTATAAAAACAGTAATAATGTGAAATATTATTACAATTTAAAATAGTAGCTTTCTATTTGAATATATTTCATAATGTAATTTATTCCTGTGATGCAAAGCAGAATTTTCAGCAACATTACTCCAGTCTTCAGTGTCACATTATCCTTCAGAAATCATTCTAATATGCTGATTAGGTGAACAAGTAATATTTCTTATTATTGTCAGTGTTTACGCTGCTTATTTTTGTGTATTTTAACCTGCAATCTTGATGTTCATGACTAGTCAACTTCCACATTTTTTTTTAAAGATAATTTTTTCAGTCCACACTTCAGCATAATATTTTTGTTAAAACCATGACACATTTTTTTGTCAGGATTCTTTGATGAATAGAAAGCTAAAAAAAAACAGCATTTCTTTGAAATAGAAATCTTTTGTAACAGTTAATTTGATCGATTTAATGTGTCTTTGAAGAATAAACGTATTCACTTTTTGAATGGCAGTGTATTACAGAAAATGGGAATTTGACGGCAAAAGGTCTTAAATTATGGTCTATATATGATGAAATACTTGTAAAACCACAAAGCCCAAATCCACATCTGCTCACCTCCCTTTCTCTTTTACACCCATCACTTAGCAAAACCGCCTCGTCTGTTTGAGACAATCACCACAGACTCTTAAACATGATTTCAGCCTTGTTCAAGTCATCACACAGTCAGCCATAAAACACATCTATAAGTCTCAATTTAGCTTAACGCAAGTCACTATCTGAGGCAATTTCACAGGTACATTGTATGTATTTTCCCATGAACTCAGATGAAGAGAATGAATGGATCGCTCAAAAAGCCTGGTCACAAATCAAGAAAGAATTTATTTATTTATTTTCTTGCTGCACTAAGTGAGACGTGCGTATGCGTGTGTGTTTAAGAGGACATTAAAGGAGGGAGGCAGAAAAGGATGAAGGGCTGGAAATCTATAGTAATTGAACTATTTTGCAATCAACATTCAGTTAAACGAGTGACT